ATTACTGATCCTCCCCCCCCCCCCCCCCCCCCTTCGACACCACAATCACACAGCACATACTTTTTGGAATAGGCTAGATGGAAAAGTTTTGTTAAAACATCGTTTGTTATGAATTAATTTAAAATTTGTTCTTGAACTACATTTATTACACATTTCTGCATCACATCACGTTGCGTCACCCATTATCATATTTTTAGATTTAACACCATTCGACTCACATCGGCCGATTCCCACTTCATCTGATAAGGTGACGGAATCGACGAAGGTTTGCCAAATGGAATAGCACATGCTGCAGTCTGTTGTGCATTGGGTTAATTCATTTTGTGTTATAATTGGATTATATTTCATGAAGTTGACAAGACCGGCAGTCGGTAAGTACAAGTTTAAAGGCCGAGATTTTTAACCGTACGGTTTTCTCAGGTAAGGGGAGGGACTAAATTTTACATGGCACTGACGGTCGTGCATACCGTGGGAAGCGCTAATCCCTATACACAAACGATATATACAAGAAGTCCATGAGTATTACCTGTACAGCTTTTTGGCCCTATGTTCATCATTAATTAAATTAATAAATCTCGACACCGTAAATAAAAAATATCATAAGTAATAATTGATGATAATTATAAATTCCATAATTTCAGACTTATATCTAATATCATACAAGCAGAAATCTCACCGGTCGACTTTTGTTAAAAAATCTACGGTATGTACCTTAGTACATTGTATGTCACAGTAGCAATGGCTTGAGTTCGTTGTTAAAAAAAAATAATGAAACACAGGTAAAAATTCAAAAGTAAAATACTCCTCCTTGCCTGTCCCATTCAAAATCTTAAAAACTTTTCATATTTAGCAATTAGAGCTTCGATCACGTCAAATAGTAACAGTTACTTCCCGTTTGTATTAAAAGTCGCGTGATCCTATTTTTAGCAGATGTACATTCTGTATCTTATTGTGAAAAATTCGCGATAATGATGGTTTCGTAAAGTTAGAATTACATACAAATATGTATGTATTTTTAGTAAATTCAGATAATAATTAAACAACTGAAAACAACATATTAATTTATTGCTAACTTGCATATTTCTTTCGAAACTATTTTTAACACCTGTGACCTTGAACGGAGGTAACTACCCACGTAGCAAGAAATGCTCGGTTATAAAAAAGGAAGAAAAAAGAAAGAAATTCTTAATATATTTAATACTTGTCCAGGCGAAGTTGTTACTAATCAGACATTTTGTTTTCAACATTACTATCCAATACATGCAAAAAATGTTACCAGCTTAATTTCTCCTTTATGCTCCGTAATGTTTTCGCCGCGTCTCAAAACAAGAATCTTTTTACGACTGAAAACAGTCGCCTATACACTTTTCATTAGAAAAAATATACACAATCTTGATTTGCTGTATTGAAACACTATTATGAGACCAATTTCATTTTATAATGAAATGTTTGTAATAAAGATAATCATACTCAATTATAATCAAGTTCAAATTGTTTGTATCGAAATGGCTTCCTCATTACGATAGTGATTTAGCGGTAAACATCAGACGACCGAAAGTTAATTTGATGGTGGCCACGCGTGTCAAACAAGGTGAAGAGAGATACACAGGGACTAGTAGCTAAATGTCAATCAATTTCAAGTACCCAATGATGGCCCTTAATTTATTTGATTGACAGGGGGATACAGACCAGGTAAATCTGAGGGTGGTGCTTATTATCTCGGACTTTAAGTATACTGGGGGGTAAAATAAACCCAAACGATTAGGTTAAAGTTCAAAAAGGGTCAAAGATCATCGCTTGCCAAACTAGACGAATTTGATATTGTGAAGTTATCTCCCGTTGTTGATGTGACATTCAGTTACTGCCAATACTGGTGCGGATCCAGAATTTTTTTTCGGAGTAGGGAGGGGGTTCACATCTCAGTCAAAAAATTCCGGCCCAGAATTTCCTGAAAAGCAGGAGAAAAAAAACCTGAAAACAAATAAACAAAATAAAAACAATGATATTGGGGTCAATGTTTTCTAAGTTAGGGGGAGGATGTTCAAAGTCATTTTTTATTTGCTTCAGTATATAGTCTTGTTTAAATAACAAAGCAAATTCCAGGGGGGGGGGGTCCAATCTCCCAACCCACTCCCTGTCCCTGAAATAACAATCTATTTTGTGATTCCAATTACAGTAAATAGTATATTTTTTTTCCATTTGACTAATTATACATATTTTGTTTCTTGTGTTTATATTATGTCTGTCTATTTGTCTTCAGAAATTCTAACCTTGCCCATAAGTTTTAAGTGGGATGGGCTATACAAATGGCTTCCACATTTTATAGGTTTATTTCTTGTGACAATCAAGACCTTTTATTTGGGTACCATTAATTTTTACCTCTGATCGCTTGACCTAGGATACACATTTTTACAAGAAAAATACCAAACTTTAAACTTGGCCTAAATTTTGATCAGTAGGTGCTAGGGCTTTCATGCTTAACATGTGTATTCATTGTGAACTGTCAACAGGTATAAATATGTTTGACCTTGAACTCTTGGGTCAAGCCTTGACCCTAGAGTTTGAACCACTTAAAAAAATTAACCTTGGCAATTAACTTTTGAACAGGAAGTACTAGGGATTACTCATTTCACATGTGCATTCCTTGTGACAAGACTTATAAAAACAATTTTAACCCTTTGACCTTGACCTTTGAGTTTGACATATATTTGAGAAACTTCAACCTTCGCCATACCCTAGACTTCCATACAGGGACATCAGTGTTTCAAAAACACATCTTGTCTTCATTATTATATGGTGGTGTCTCCATATGAGAGAAAAGAGAGATGTATTCACAACAAACAAACAAATTACGAAAGAAAATATAAAACAGGAATATGTTGGTCATGCATATCTCTGCATGAAAAAAAAAAACAGCTTTTCAAATACTGTAACCATATTGTAACCCTTTCAAAACACTCATTTGAGCTTTTCTGGTTTCCTTATCATATAACGTCTGTTGTGACGTGTCGTTCATCTGTTTGTCTAAAAACTTTTTACATTCTTAACTTCTCTAGAACCACTGGGCCAATTTTACCCAATTCATATAGAAATATGTACATTTGTATGTCAGACTGTCCTTCTGTCTCAATAAATTTAACCTTGGTCATCACGGTCATATCTACTGAATGAGAAGAGACGAGGCATTCATATTAAACTTATGTACAGTGAGGTTGCCGATATCGAATCACTTAGTAAATTTGCTTGGATAGTTCATACCTGAGTTCGAATTAAATTCATACTACAACATTGTTTGGTGGTACTATGTTTGACGTATAACATCATATATATTTCCCCAATAACCGCTGATTAAATAAAAAGATATCTCTGAACTGTGATGAACGATGTTTTCTCCTTTAGCGGATCATTTTCTCCATTACCGAATCACGTGACATACAGCTGATTCTCTTTGTGAGGGGCGGTGTCAAAATACACTTTTTACGTTTTACAAGGTCTGTAAACATGATAAAATATAAACAAGAAAAATAGAAAGGCTAATATAATTTTTTTGAGTAGTGTTCATTTTATTGCACCCGACAAATAATAATAAAAAAGCAAACAATGAATTCATTTTAAAAAATGACTAGTTGATAAAAAAAACGACTATCTTGGATCTACAAAACAAAAAAATCAATTAGTTTCAAGTTAATCTAAGTCATCATTATTATTAATTTTATGAGATACATGAACAAACTTTCCTGTAATTATAAACACAGATGAAAGGATACAGGAAAAAGGACATGCATAACAATTATTTGAGGACTCAGTGATGCCAAACTTGGGGTAATACATTCTGTGTATTATTTAATCATGATTTGTACAGTTCCATTGCATCACCCTCTTCTAATTTTGAAAAGAAATCTTTCAGTTCATTAAACAAATTTTCACCATCTACATTTGCAAGTATATACTTGCAAGGAAGAACAACACCACCCCCTTCCTTATTAGGTTCTGGCCATGGATGAAAACTTGGCACTGGCTGTCCAGTCACTTCAGCAAATATTTCACCACCATTATCCAAAATATTACGAAAATGTGCAGAAAGACACCTGGGTACATGTCCGATAGGTAGACCAGCTATGTCACTAACTTTCAGTTGGCGTTTTTCATCTGTAATATCATTATGAATATGTTGGGGAAATTTGTTCAATGGCGGCAGCCACACCAGACAAGCATTGTCATCTTTGATGTTTGAATATTCCCTGTCAACAAGTAAACGAGTTGGAGGAGATGTAAAGGGGGGACGGATTTTAAAGGCATGATAGCCTTTCACAACACATTTGTCAATTATAACTTTTCTTGAAGCTGAACTCTTGGACTTCACCATTCCAACATCCACAGTAGGCTGAAATGGGAATGAAAAATATCTGTGAATATCTTAAAATCTAGAAAAAGTAGTACAGTACTGTACATGTAATACACAGAGTTACATCACTGATCAGAATTTCAAGTGTATAAATTATAACCTCACATGGACTATATTTATACTAGTACAATTCATTGTCAGAATCCATCAGATTTCTACCTGTTACACTTTTTATTTGTTGAAAGCAGTGTGTTAATGGACAGGGATCTCCTGGTTTTGAATTATGAATAAAATTATAAATACATGCAACATCAAGTAAATAAACACCCACTTAAATTTTGGAGCATTTTGGACACACAAAGCTTTCATTCACATCAATTTCATAAGATAAGCAGTCTGTGTGCACCCAACTGTCACAGGAATCACACTGGACCCAAAGCCTCTCCAGTCCTAACTCTTCATCCTCTTGTTCTGTACCTTGACATGCTTGGCAAAATGGTTTGGTAACAATGTCATCCTGTTCTAAGCCTACAGTTTCATCACTGTCACTGTCACATGTCAATTTTCTCAAACTTTTTGATCTCCTCTTGTGACATACTTTACTTTTCTTATTTTTTTTCTTTTGGGTAGTTTTCTTTTGTTGTCTTGCTAATTTTTTCATGTACTGAAGTTTAGCTTTTTTTTTCTTTCTTGGCAAAAGACTTAACTGTCTCCAGTTGCTTTAAGGAGAATTGTCTGATACTTTCTGGAGAGGTCAGGTGATCAGGACATGTGTCTAAAACAGACAGCCGTGTTCTCGTTGAACAGTTAGTAGCCTTAGGGTAGACCAAACTTTCTGTTAACACAGGAGACATCGGCACATCACCAGTATCTGAAAGTTCTCCGATTCCATCACTGTCTTCTTGAAGATAAGACTGTACAGGCTGTTTGGTGTCCAACTGTAACACAGCTGCATCAGCAAGCAATTCAAGTCCTGATGTGCTACATGTATGTCTGCTCTTTTCTTTCAAATCTCTGTCATGTGGATATGCTTTTTCATGCAACTTTTTATACACATCAAAACAAGGTGACTGTCTTTCAAGATCAAGGCCTTCTTCTATTTGATACGCATAACGTTGTCGGACAGGAGTGGAAAGGGTGTTCTGAAAAACCTCAAGAGCTCCTTTGGCTTTCTCCTGTTCCCCAGATTCTTCTTGACTATCAGTCCTTGTCTCCTCAATATCTATACATACATTTGCTGCTTCATCATCTGTGTAAGTTAGTGACGGCTTCAGCATCTCACGCGTAATGACTGTACTGTCGACAGGATATATTCCTGCAGATTTGAAAGCATTGATTACAGTTAATGGTTTGTAAAACTGTAAGAAGGTCTCTGACAACTTTATTGCAAAATTATCTTTCCCAATAGTTTTTCCTGGATTTTCTCTACAGTACTTTCTTGATGTAAGGTGCCACTTTGATTTGAGAGGTCCAAAAACACCTTTATCTAGCGGTTGCATTAGGTGAGTTGCGTTTGGCAGAATCCTGTATAACTCAATGCCTTTTGATTTCGCTTTCATGAAAACGTCATGATCGACATGACTACTTACGCTGTCAAAAAGAAGCAAAACTGGACGCTCTACCCCAGCATGTCGATCAAAATGGTCCACAAACTTGGAAAAGGTTGCTCTATCCATCCACCCTTTCTTTGTATATGCAATATCAGTTCCATCTAAAGACCCATTGAGAGGATTATAACCCCTTGGCTTAGGTTCTGGGTAAACAAGAAATGGAGGCATCATTTGCCCAGAGGCACTGCCACAGAACATCACAGTGAGACGTTGTTTCCCAAAGGAAATGTGAGGCACACCCAGGTCTCGTCTAGTTGGCCCTATGACTTTACTTTTGTTGCTGCCCATATTGAAACCTGTTTCATCTGCATTCCATATTTTGTTTGGCTTGTCAATCAGATCAATGCTCAGCAAAAAATCTCGAAATCTGTCATACCATGCATCCACTTTTTCTTTGGTGACCCGAGATCTCTTTAGCTCCAGTGCAGTCTCTACTCTTTGATTGATAATGTGGGAATTTCTATTCATAAATGCATAATACCACTTTTTGCCTGGTCTTCCATTTTTGAATGGCACCTGACGTTTTTCCTTATTAACAACTGTCTGCACAAAGTCTAAAAACTCGCACATCCTCAAACCCATACCCCTTTGAGACATTTCACAAAGCCACTTTGCCATGGCTGTCTCTTCTGATTCGGTGAATACTGGTGGTTGTCCTTTCATTTTATATTCGTTGACTTCGCCCGTCCATCGTCTATATAAAAATGAATAGGACAACCCATTCTCCCCTGCTGCTTTCCTTATTGATTGATTGTTTTTACTTACATCATACAGTGCCCTTCTGACTTTCTCCCTTCTCTGTGGAGACATTCTCTTTCCACATGTTTTGTACTTTTTGGTGATTTTTGCTGCTGATTTTTGATTTGGTGTATGTCCACCACCTTTATTGTAAACTTTTTTGGGGGGCATATCTGAAAGTCCATATAATTATTTAATGTCAGTAAAAGAAATTATTTTGAGCTAACAATATTATGTTAGCAGGTCAGTAATATATTGTTATTTTAATGGATTGCAGCATTACTGGGAAACCAAAATTGTTTAAATTGTTACCAAATGCAGAAATTTTCTACGAACGGGGAATGTAGTGCATTTTAAACTTCTGTTGTTTATTTTATTGCAACAGGTGTTTAAAAAAAAGCATGCGAAAAATTAAAATTTTGACATGATCCCTGCATCTCCTTATCTTGTAGCAGTGATTCGTAATTGGAAACTTCACTACCTACAACTTTATAGCTAATACAATTATTCGCTGATTAAGAAATTGTTTGATACTTTCGGTGCTTTTAGACACATAATTTTATTAAACATCTGTACCAAATTTGCTTACCGACAACGATCCATTCAACTTGGCGCTCAACCGAAAAGTGAAAGTTGTCTGCTGGATACACGCTTCTAGTCTGCGTCACGAAAAAGCTTGTTTATGTTTGTTAAAAAATTACGACATTGTACAGGTTTAATTTTAATAATTTCATGATAAGTAACAAAGGCGAGAGTAATACAGCATGACGGGATAGGTTAAGCTAAGTATTGGACATTGATAAGAAAAATACAGAATTTTTATCTGAAAGTGATTCGGTAATGGGGGCGATTCGTTATTGGCAACCTCACTGTACTAGTATTTACCTGTGAGAATGGCATGTTTTTTTTTTTACATGTGACCTAGAAGTTTGACCTACTTGCAGAAAAATTAAATTGTTATAAATTCATCATTTTGAAAGAGAAAAGTTAGGGCATTCATATTATAATATTCAAAGCTAATTCACTCTGAATTAGCTGCTTTTATCGAAGAAAGTGCATAATTGCTTTACCTAAATCTCATTACTTATTTCTAGTGATTATTGTTCTTGTCAAATATTTAGTTGATTATTCCCCCTTTTAATAAAAACACCTGAGGGCGCTTTGGTTGCAACTTCCTTTTTCAATATTCCAGCATCATCTTGGGTTGGTAAAAATTTTCCAGCTTGTTATTGTGTATTATAAATTTGAAACAGTCATTGAAAATATTAACTGATTTGGAGAAGGCATTTTTAAAAGCTTTATTTTCAGCTTTTATGCTAGGATTAGGTATATTTAGCCTATTGTCCCCGATGTTAATGGATTTCCTGGGGGGGGGGAGGGGTAGCGTGGACATTATGTAAAGCTTGTAAGATGGGGTCTTAGTTATAAATAGAGGATCTAATTAGATAAAAATGTATTTAAAATACATAGTTAAATGGCCGGGGGGGGGGGTCGCCGCCAAGCCTCCGCACCATCGTCGGCATAGATTCAATATTAAGATCGGGACAGGGGGGTAACTCTCGAAATTACATGCCGATACGGATAGCTATGATCGATATATTAAAACTAGGGTCGATTGCACTTACTAGATTGATTTAATATCTAATATTTTAACACGATTTTTTCTATACCCCGAAATTATCCGAGCGTTTGCTGAGCGATCTGACAAGTGATGTTTTCCGGATTTGGTTTTGTTGATTAGTTTAAACATTCAACTTCCAGTTAAGAAAAACACTTGACTTTCACTTCAGTTTTAGCCCACTAATTGACTAAATATTTTATTACCTGTGAATCGATTTCATAAAAGGTAAGTGGGATCAAGAACAACAAAGATATTTCTGTCCGTCAAGACAATATCAGAATTGAAACTTTATAAATTTAGTTTATGGCATCTTTGAATGTTGTTTAGGCTTGATGACAATATGACAAGTAAGATATTTAGACTATGCACTTAATTTTAAATTGCTTTTATCCGCCATGTTTTGCTCGTCGATGAACAACAATTCAGGGGTTCCATTTTTAATGGTAAATTCAGGAAATAAAATATAATTAATGCACTGAAAGCAAGTTATTTATTGTTAAATTTGCTTTAATATAATCATGACCTCTTGTAAAGCAGTCTGACATGGGAAATTTATATTCACTTGTTATTTACCTATTGTTAATTTTATGAAATACAATTAGGTAACATTATTATTACTTAAATTACCATGATTGACACTTGACATGGTTCTCAACAGCGTTTGACATAACCTTGCACCTGACCGCCCAAGATGCACATTGAAGCCCATCTGGCTGAGTAAAGTAAAAATTTCCCATAAATTAAAATTCTGATTGATATTTAAAACTCTGCAATCAACTATTACTGGTTCCAAATTGTAACAAGCAAATGGGTAGAATTCATCATGCAGCTTATAGGTCAGGAATCGAATATGTAGCGAATCAGCCCTATTCACATTTTTGCTCTAAAATTTTCAAAGACAAATTATTTTTTGCGGGTTAGTACTTTTTTGGCAGGGCAGACAACTTCAACTAGCAATCAGCTGTGCATGCTCAGCTTATTTTACAGTAAAAAAAAAAAAAAAAAAAAAAAAAAAAAAAAAAAAAAAAAAAAATTAAAAAGATTTCAGATAAAAATAAGGTACATTCTAAATACAATTTAAAATTTTTCTCTTAAATATTTTGGATGGTTTTATCAAATTCTAGCCAGATAAATTTATACCCGCTTCCAGCAGGACCGTTGTGCTCATGTAGAAATCTGGAACACATCATACATGTAGAAGTCTGATGTTAATTCCTGGTGTAGGGTTTTGCCTAATTTGTGTAAACAGTTTTATTTCTGTTATCATAATATATCCTTTTGATCTTTCTTTAATTTTATAGGTAGTGTTTTACGAGTTTAGGCACCATACAGTGTTTTCCCTTTATTTCAAAGTAAGGGGTTAGAGATCGGTTGTAACAGGCTAGGAACTGATGTTTATGAACAAAATCTCTGTGGACCTAACAACAAATTTTGTTTCGAAACGGCATTCTTGTCAATTGAAGCGGTCAATTTGCCTGGTAACCAGTTCTTAAGGAAAACACTGAATCATACTTTTAATGCAACTCTGATGTGCTAGACTGTAAAGACAGCCTAAACAGTTTAACAAAATGGACAATTTCAGTTCATGACAATATAGATCTATCTAGCTGATTCCCTTGTTAGCAACAATGTTTATTTGAAATATCGTTCATGAATGTTCTAGACAGGCATGCATGTATGGGTTGCACATTGCACAAGTTTTATATGATTTTCATTACATTCATAATAGCCTTTACACTAAAATCAATTTTAAATACATTAATTCCCCAAAATAAAGCCCATTGTCCATATAACGATTTTTATAAATAACAGGATATTATTTAATCTCGGAATAATTATTTATCTCGGAATTCAAGTAAATCATAATTTCAGGTGTAGTGCCTATATGTTACCTTAGTTTTTCTCGAAATATCAGTTTCCACTGTAGTAGATGTTGACTAAGTGGGTAAGTGTGTATATGGGTACCAAATATATCTAACTGAAATATGTTGACTAAGTGGGTAAGTGTATATATGGGTACCAAATAAATTTAATGAAATATTGCAAAGTTGTTGTTTTTAAATATTTTTTTTCATGTTTCTGTTCTCTTTTAATTTCAAATTTTCATTTTTTTTTTAATTATTTTTTCTGCAATAGTTTGGTATTGTGTAGTGAATCTGATGTTATGCTTTAGGGGTTAGTCAGTTTCCCATGCACAGCATGGACTAACCCATTTGCGCATGCGTTACTCTCGGGGGTTAGTCAGATTTCCATGCATCGCATAGACTAACCCATCTGCGCATGCCTCAATATTTACTCGCTAATCTTTGCATTTTCCTTCGTATAAACGGCAAAATTAAGTAATCCTTCAAAACGATCCGTCTTTTAAATAAGCTTCAATCCCACCGTAATCGCTTAAGTTACTCCCGAGTCCGAAATATCTGTTGAACATAGACAGCTGTCCATGAATGAAGACTTAGAAATACTATCGCAGCAAAGAACAATACATACCGATTCGTATTCTCGATGCACACTGCAAACATTTACCATTATTTTTGACAATCGTGACATTTAAATCCAAAGAACGCGGCGATGTAAACACTACCAACTTCCAGCAACTTCCTAATGCAGACTACCTCTGCTCCACGTCACGCTGTGAAAAATGACGTCACGGGTACATTGTTTTCCCGAACTTTTCCAATCGGCAATCCTCGGCTCCATGTGCGAGTTACGAGTCATCCGAGGAAGTCCGAGTGGAGAGCAAAATGGCGATTGAGCATTCTGCGTAATATAAGGTTTCCTGTCTTTGTTGTTCATCAGACGTACTCTAATTTTTTTGTAAAATGTTCTACTTTAACCAGGCAATTAAATATTACAAGGGGAAAGCGAAGCTGGGAAGTCTTCAGTACAAAAATCGGTCTTTAAAATTAGAAGATCTATGATCCGCCCACTTGTTTCACCTCTAGTTAAGAGGTGCATATTTAGTGTGCAAATCTTGAGATTGTAAGCTTTGGTGACGTCACGCTCTAAATTGCAGTGACAGGGAAAATGATAGGCATACATCAAAAAAATGCACAGGCATATAACATCATATTTGAGAGGATAGAATTTTAACTAACATGAAACTTGATAAAAATAAATAAATAAATAACATTAAAACGAAAAAAAAAAAGAATTGCCCAAATTTGAAAATCGGGGGGAGGGGGGGGGGTTAAGTTTTTTTCACATTCTTCTGTTCGATCAATTAAAAAAGAAAACAAAAAGGTTGTCAGGGTTTGTGTGTGTTGAAGGGGGTGGGAGGTTTCGATAGATATTTTTTCTATAGTAAAAAAATATGGTTATATCTCAGTTGGAAAAAAAGGAAAGGAGGCATTCCCCCACAAACCCCTCAGGCCTGATGCAGTGTATATTTAAATGATTTAGACTAGTAATATCAAATCATAAAAGGGATACATTTTATTTAAGGAATGAAGCTAATTTTGCAGGTCTGTTGCCTTACCTGCTTTCCTGATTTACATGTATTTTTCTTTAGAATATACTGACTGACCCCCCCCCCCCTTCTCCGTAAGTGGATTTGATTCTGAAAGGGGGCTGGCAGATTTTTTTTTAATTACGGTGTGTATAATTATAACGTTTACTTGCATGTCAGAACATCAGAAACTGAGAAAATTTTAAAAAATCGCAATTCAACTAAATGATTCTTTTCAGTTAATTATAATTGTGTGTCGTTTAATATTTTTATGGGTAATAATTGCTTATAATGCAATATTCAGCAACTTTTCTATATTTAACCTGCTTAATGGATATTGTGTAAATTATATTATACCAGTATTCGATGTGTTGGAACCGCGATACGTGTACATTATAACTGTACCAGAAATTTTATCAGTGTGTAGCACGGAATTTATATCATTTTCGACTGAACTCATTTTATTTATCGGTCGAAATGATATTTTTTAAAATTGAAAAACGGCTCATGAAAACAAACGGGTTAAATTTTCGATACCAGTCGGTGCATATTAGATTATAAAATAGGAAAAGGTGCGTCCAGTCCAGATTTAAAATGAAA